TCTCCTCCCCATGGGGAGGGGCGCGGCGGTGGCTGCCAGCCAGGCATCGCTTGCTGCTGGCAGCCACCGCATCCCCACGGGGAGGGCTTGGTGACACCCAGGGCGTAGCTCCCGGGGTCCCATCCTGGGTAGGGACCACCGGGGTGCAGGGCCCACCCCGTGCTCGGCGAGGCACCAGCGGCAGAGATGGGAGACGGTGCTGTAGCAGCAGCAGGCAGCTCCCCTTCTACCTGCAGGGAGGGCTGGGGGGAGGTAGGGGAATGGCAGCTGAATGAAAAGAAGCCAGAGCAGGAAAACCAGGGTTATTCCCCGCCGCCGTCTCCCTCCTGACCTTGGACAACCCTGTGCCTCAGTTTACCCCGGCGCAGCAGCCACCTGCAGTGGGGGGGGGAAAGGAGGGCAGCGTCCCCCAGGCAGGGGGGAGCAAAGTCACCCCCAAACCCGCAGCCAGGAGCACACGGGCAGAGCCAAGGCACTGCAGGGGAAGGCACGGAATCACTTTTGCATTTCTCCTTGCCCAGCAGGGAAGGGCAAACGCTGCCTGTGCCCCTTGGAGCTGCAAGAGACGCTCCGGTCCCGGCCGGAGGTCACACTGCTCACCTCTCCCCCCGCACCCAGCCAGGCGTGCCCCCCGCAAGGACTCGCACCCATTGCCTTCTCCCAAAGGGAATTTCCGAGACCCAGGCAGAGGCAGGACCTGCCGCACAGCAGCACCGGGAGCCCGGCCAGGCTCTGCTCCCGGCTCCTGCCTCCCAAACTTCCCGAGTTGCAGCCGCTGCCCTCTGGGAGGTCACTGCAAAAACCGCTGAGCGCCTGGGGAAGATGCACGGGCGCTCCCAGCTCCCCCCCCCCCCCCGATAGTGGGGAAGAAAGCAATAGCCAGCGTCTCGCTGCAGCACCGGCGCCCGGGGACACGGGCAGCGCTCACCCCCCCGCACAGGCACCGGGGGGGGGGACGCAAACCCCCTCCGGAGCCGCAGAGAGCCGCACCCCCGGGGCGGGCTCCCCCCCAAGCCCCCTCCCGGCGCAAGCTCCGGGACGTGCTGCCCCCCCGTGCATGCATCCCAGCCCGGTGCAAGCTCCCCAGTGCAAGCATCCTAGCCGGGTGCAAGCTCCCCGGTGCATGCACGTTCCCCCCCGCCCAGCCGGTACAGGGAGGGGGGGCATGCAGACGCGGCCCCGCCGCCGCCCCGGAGAGCCCGGCGGACCCCCCCGGGGGGCATCCCGGAGGAGGACGACCCGCGGCCCGACTCACCTTGGACGGGCAACCCGCGGGCGCCGAGCACACTTGCTACCAAAGCGGCCACATCCCAAATCATAGTACTACCGGCCCCCGGTGCGCAGCATCTTCCGCCCGCCGGGCGGCCCGGCCGGGGCGGGGCAGGGCTGG